TGTGGGATTCGTGTCGTCAGTGACAAAAGGCTCAAGTCGCGATATGAAAGAGCGAAAAGGACGAATCGTGGTCCGGGGATCGAACGAAGGGAGGAAAAGAGAAAGAGCGTGGAAAACGCGTGGGATAAGGGAGGATTAAAATCGAGTACCCCTCTTTGAAGGGTATTAAAATCCGTCCCTTATTACAGATAGGTACGATAGTTCGTTTTTTTTGTGCTACTCCATGCACACAGATGATCCTCGAGCTTGCGGATTATATAATAGGGATTAAATATGCAAATATAAATACATGTATAGTCATTATGTGAATATACAATATATGTATATTATACATGCATATAATAAATGCTTCATATATAATGATTTATAAGCGAAGAAACATGCTCTGCGATATTGAACAACCGTGCTATTTCTATTTCGAAATTACAACATATACGTTCCTTTCATGCCTTCCGTTCGTACTAAAATTACGTATTTGTAGACCATCGAAATATGTCTAGAAGCTTGAGTAATGATGAACACACATCAGTAAATGAGAACAGCCTCAATGCTCGTCGCTTCAAATGCATCTGAAACGCTCGACTCGAGAACCACCCCGTGAAACACGCGGATCGAGAGGGATAGAGAGAGAGGGGGGGGGGAGTCGCAGCAGAGGCTTGAGGGGGTGTCTTTGAATGGGTAAGTTCCGGATTTAAAATCCCGGGCTCCACTCGAAATCGCGTTACCGAACGTGTCTCTCCGCACCCTTCGCAGCGTGCGAAGGGATTAAGAGTACCTAGCGCAAAGTCCTCCGCTTATTTTCACGATATCTCACCGCGGGGTGTTCTTGGGTAACCGCAGATGCGACGCGTCAAAGTCTCGTCTCGAGTCTCAGGTCTGTGACGTAAGCACGCGTAAATACGTCGCGTTCTCGGCATCGTTGCGCCCGTTAGGGGATAACCGGCGCGAGGGTGTGCGTACCGTTAGAGTGGTGGCAAAACGTAACTCGAAATAAAGGCCCTCAAACGAACCAACATGTCGTCCCCTCCGCCCTTAACGCGACAAAGAAGAAAAAGAAGAGGCGGCCGCTCTCTCCCGATGTGTAGCAATTCAATTTCAAAGTGAAGAAACGAGAAATGTAATTAGAGACAGTGCTAAGTGCTCGAGCCTTCGCGCGATATAATTAGCCCCGACCATTCGCACGACGAAAGACGCGCAAGAGTATTTCGGGATTTACATCGGCTCTTTTACACGCGCCACGTTTGATTCTGTTCATCCGCGCAGCGAGTTAAATACGCCATAAGACGTGCTGCTACAAGAATAAAACGTTGCGTTGAAGAATTTTAAGTACATTCGCTTTCGTCTAAGCGAGTAACTTGCAAGTATCGGAATGTGCCAAGCTTGTCTTTTCTTCTCTCTACAGAATCTTGTAGCGGTATTTCTCAAAATTTATATTATCACAATTTTTATTTTTTATATTATTTTAAGAATATCAACTTTATCGTTATCTTATTATCATTTCTCTTAAATTTTCTATCTATCAATTCGATCTACCAATGACTCAATAGTGAAAACTATTCTATTAATAAATTATTAATTCAAAATGATTAAAATTAAACTATGAAACAGGATCGTTCTGAATTAAATTTAAGGGAAAATATTAAGTTATCGGACCATGGAGCCTAATGTATTAAATTCATAACTAAATTTTAAATACTATGTTGTCAAAACATATATGTGTAATCTATATATACTATACATAAAAACCAACTGTCGTCATATCAGATAAAAGTACTTATTCTTAGAGATAATAATCTATTATAATAAGCCAAACGTTTCGATCTTGAGATCATCTTCAGTGGTACATAAAATTTACTGTGAGCGGAGCTCATAAAGTTGTAGCATTAAAATTATTACAAAGCCGTGTGTCAAAACTCGTGTATTATAAAGTACTGTTATAAAATTATTAATTATATCAATCACGGTATTTATTTTCTTTTAATTTTCGTTTTATCCTGTTGTTCATGATTCTTAAAAATTTCAGGATTTAAATAAGTTTTCCATCTATCTCTGTCTAATTATATCCTCTTTCCTTCAAAAATATTATAAATGTTTTCGCACTTCTTCGTTTGTGTAATTCTGGTCTTAATAATGATAAACTTTCACAGTGCATAGGTGCGCGTTCGGATTCTCGGTGCTTCACGGTGGTCCATTTCTCATCGCTCGTCGTCTGTCGCCTGCTTGGAAAATATCGCAGCTTCGTATAAAGTATCTCGATCGGTCTGGTGCATGACCGGTCGACGTCGGGTCATCCAATACTCTACAACGAACTTTTTGTGCCTCGGGATGCCTATGGCTCGCTCCGTCGAGATCCGTCCATCGTCCGTCTCGTCCGTGAGCAGCGGAGGCTTCCCCTGAGTTCTCGGGGTAATATTACGCTTCTGGGTGGCTCACCCTCCCGACGCCGACGACAAATTTTTCATTCTTAGAGTGTCGCCTCGTTCGTGTACTCTTAGATTTTCTTGCTTCGCACGATTATCATGAACGTTATTGAAAGATTTATTTCGAAAGTCAAATAGTGTTATAACAGAGAGTGAGTTTAGATTGACAGGAAAAGTAATTTTGCGAAATAATGACTAACAATTATGACACTTACGGTATTTAATAGCTATAACAAGAGAGTAATTTATCAGCTTAATTTTAATCTTCATTGAATTCCTATTGCTTTAATTTACTCGACATTATTATAGTTCTGAGACAACTTTTTATATTTTGTCTCAAGGAGACAATAAATCTGATATCTTGTACATCTGTGATATTTTTTATTCTATAAGTAGATTCTTTGCGAAACTGCATACTCAAATTGTCCTCCACTTTAATTATATTTTTTACATCAAATACATCATTTTTACAGATTTAAATACGAAAATTACCAAGTATGAAAATTAAACAGTAAACTTTATTCGCGTCCAGGGTGCAATGCGTGTATGTGCGCGATAAGTCGTCTTACGAGAGTAACTTTTCATGGAATGACAGAATCGTGCCGAAGCAAGAAGGTGTCGAGGCAAATAAGCGTAATGGTAATACAAGATACACACGATCCCTAACTACAACTGATCAACGATCCAGCTCGTAGCTCGGCAGACGTTAATGAAATCGAACACTGTGACATTCTCTTACGTGGTGAATGCGAGCATGTAACAAACACGTGCAAGGATATTCTTAAGTACCGCGAGACTAAAAAAAAGGAACATTGCGGACAGAAAATGTTTGCAATTCCTTTCGCCTGTTATTCTCAAGAATCGTTAGATAATTCATATTGAGATTTTTAATTAACTGAATATTTTAATTGTATAAAGAATTTAAAGTATATTTAAAAAATTAAGGGGGTGTAGGAGTATATAGCAAATTGAAAAATAGAATAATTTTAACACTATATAGGTAAGATATTTATTTAACAAGATAGATAAATAGTTTTTTCTTGAAAAAATAATCTTTTAATAATAAAATTATAAAAATTACTGAAACAATGAACAATAATAGCATCCTAAATAAAGTCACTGTAGTCCATTCGCGTTGCATGACCAAAATTTTAGTTTCGCGGTAAATGATCTCAAATAAGCATGCAAGTACCTATACATTTTTTTTTTAACTTTACAGTCGTCATTTTTGATTCACGGAGAAAATTATTAAAAATTTTTATTTTTTACGAACAACATATCCAAATTTGTTTCTTTTTTTGTTATAATTTATTAAAAACATTAAAAACAAAAAAGCCTCCGTGAAATAATGCATGAGAATTTAAAAAAAAATGTTATTTAAAAACTTCAAATTGATCAAATAAACCGTATTTGAATTATTCGTGGCCTGCACATTTCAAAACACGAAACGTTTTGGATAAAAGGACGTTTAGTCTTAAAATGTATAAATTTTCTATTTTTTAACGATTTAGTTATAATTATTAATCTATATTCCATTTTTATAATTTTAAATTAGTAGAAAGCAAAAGAAATTTTTATTAATTCTTTAAATTTTCTAAAGTTTTGTAACATCTTAAGAGAAGGTACATTTATTTATAATAGAAGAACGACGTTTATAGTATTATATTATTATAATTGTTATAGAAAAATATCGTTGTTTGTCTAACTAAATAAAAATAAAAAAAAGGGTATACGCTGTTGTCTTATGATGACTCGATCACGACGCGCTCTCCCGATATACCTAAGTATACGAGTCATCGTCGATCCCGTTCGTCACCGTAAGTCACATTCGTCTCGCTCTCGAGAGTTCTCGCCAGCATCAATGAAGAAATAGTCATTGCGACCGCGCGTAACACGCGCCGGTAACACATCAGCCCGGCATGCACGCATAATCGCGACAAACACGTCCGGCAGTTAGGGCTAGGCCGGCTAGGGCCAGTTCGGCTCGCGAATACAACGCGGGACAGAAGTAGACAGCGGTCCGCGACGAATCGCACAATGCCTGACATCTCCATCGCGCATCGCCGAGGCACGACGGAAACGAGAAACGGGCCCCGCGCGACGTAGTCACGCCCCATCGCGACCCATCGCGACCCATTGTCCGTGGGTCACGTCGTTCCGTCGAGATTTATCGTTCCCGGGGTCCTCTCTCTTGTCATTATCCACGCTCGATTCGCGACGATTATCGACCTCGTCGCACCGACCCCGACACGTTTGTCTGTCCCTCCCACGGAATTTGTTTTTGCCACAGTTTCTGCTATCCGAGCGAATGCCCGTCGGGTCGGCTGCAAACGCACCCGTCATCGTGTCAACCCTTAATTATGGATGTTACAAACTAACAGATATAGAGTCCATGGTCCTAGGGACCTCTGCTTTTAAATATGAAAAAGGAGGAAATAAAAATAAATGCTCTCCACTGTGCAATACGTACTTGTTACACAATTTCTTTGATTTATTTTCTATAAATCAAATGATAGACAGACCATCTTTAATTGTGTAAGTTATAGAGGGGGAATAAAAAAATTACAAAAAATAACTCACCAGTCGATGCGCAACAGCGGAGTTCTAAGTTGTAACTCATCATCTGCGTCGATCTGTAACATAGAAATATTTTTACATTAAAGCAGGGTTCAAGAGATAATCAAACTTGAAATAAATAATTATATCGCGCCCGTTAAATTGTTAAAACATTACTTTAACAAGTTTAACAGATATCTGACTTTAAAATGCAAATGCCAGAAACGATCGCGATCGCCGCAAGTGGCTGCATATTTGCGCATTAACTCGGTTCGCACAATTAATTCACGAAAAATCGTGCAAGTAATATCACGACCGTATACGAATAAGAGAGACACGCGATGTTCGCGACGTAATACTTCTTCTCGCATATGCCGGAGATTCAACTCCGACGAACGTGCACCGATAAGTTAAACTTGGAAAGTAGCGGACGTCGGCACAGATAAGCAAAATAATAAACAAATAATGACAATTACCTCACGGTCGGTCCGCCGTTGCCCGATGCCTCCCAGGCCCCCTCCTCCTCTCCTCGGTCCTCCCCCGATGTCGCATCTCTGACGACGCATTCACTCACTCGTTCACTTGACTCGTTACATGCGTGAAAATATCGTCACTTATGATCGCGCGACACTCTCGACACTTTGCACGGCACTCCCGGTATTAATCTCGCGACGCGACGCGTACTTAATAACACGGTGACGGAAGACGTGCGGCGGAAAAGCATACGATCCGCTCGACCGCGACGTCCGTCGATGTCCCGCAGCCCCCGCAGGTAGACGTTAACATGGCGGAGAGAATTTCGTGAATCGCGCGGCCAACTTCACTCGCCACCTAGGAGCAACCGTCGCGGTCGGCGTCGCGAGGACACTACTGCAATTAAATTATCGATTTATGAACACTGTCTATTCCCCACGATCGCCAAATATCAAAACCAATCACACGATAAAATACGAGGTTAAACGTAATAAGATGTTGATAGAGACTGAGATCTGTGATCGATAATTAAACACGTCGCGGCGTTACTCGAACTCGATTTAGGATTCGCTCGTATCTTTCATCCGTGTTCCGGAAACGACGATAAATTCACTCCGAAGCCACGACGCGAGACGCGAGAGGCGAGAGGCGAGTTGACGGTTGAGAAAAGCGAAATACGAAAGAATGTTATCTAAAGTCAGTATTATCGAGCAAATTTCGCGAAGTACATGTATTAAATACACATTCGATGCCACATATATCACGCACACATGTAACAGTTTTCCGTAATCTGAAAACGGAGTCCGACGACGATACATTACTCCGCGCAACGATCTACGATCCGAGAGTCAATAAATTCCAAGACGAGGTCGCGTACGTGACGCGGGCGCCGCGCCGCGACTTTGCTGTAAACATGATGGAGGGGGGGTAGAGTGACTAGCACGGTGCGCATCTCGGTGTGTCTAGTTACTTTACTCCCGCTCTTTCCCTATTACTCGTGTTGCCGCGACGCCCGCGACCCCGTCTTTGCTCTCGGATCGCGTCGCGGAGTAACCATTGGAGTAACGTACGAATCGCCGAGCCGACGTTTCAGATTACACATTACAGAAAACTGTGACACATCGAATGATTAGCTGATACATGTGCTTCGCGGAATTTATACGAACACGAGCTAGGTATATCGCGTTCGATAATACTGACTCGTCGGAACGCAGCCGACGCGAGGCGGTCCAATGAGGAAAATTTGTGTTTTCGGAAAAGGAATTCTTTCATCATCGGTTGCGTTCCGAAAAACGCGCGGGTATGACCACTCTCATCTTTCTCTCTTCAATGTTCCAACATACGACTGAATGTAGACCGGCCCTAATCGATCGATCGGCATTGTCGTTTTCGGAACACGGATAAAGAATACGAGCGGACGAATCGGAGTAATGTCGCGACGTGTTTAATTAACGCTCACAGATCGCAATCTCTATTAACGTCGTACGTATTTAACTTTGTATTTAATCATGTTTTGATATTTGGCGATCGTGGGAGATAGACACGAATGCGTATGTTCATAAATCGATGATTTAATTGCGGTTAACCAAGTGTAGCGTCTCGCGACGGTTGCTCCGGGCGAGAGTGGCGAGTGAAGTTGGCCGCGCGATTTACGGAATTCTCTCCGCCATGTTAGCATCTAGCTGCGGGGCTGCGGGACATCGACGGACGTCGAGCGGATCGTATGCTTTTCCGTCACCGTGTAATTAAGTACGCGTCGCGTCGCGAGATTAATACCGGGAGTGCCGTGTGCCGTGCAAAGTGTCGAAAGTGTCGCGCGATCATAAGTGACGATATTTTCACGCATATACGAGTCAAGTGAACGAACGAGTGAGTGCGCCGACAGAGATGCGACATCGGGGGAGGAGGAGGGGGCCTGGGAGGCATCGGGCAACGGCGGAGCAACCGTGAGGTGAGTAACTGTTATGTTACTCGTTTATTATTTGCTCTGGCGTAATGGATTTAGTCTAAAATTCTCAGGCACGAGTTGATTCGCCTGCAATATATTATTTAAAGTTTAACATTATTAGAGTGTAACGCCGCGCCGCCGAGTTCGAGCGCCAACGTTGTGAGCATGTGAAAAAAGATTTATATCGATCAAACGCGGAACGTCTCGTCTCACTTATTCGCGTGGTCGTAATACCGTGATAAATTTTTTATAGATTAATTATGCGAACAAATTAATGGAAATATACAGCAATTAACAGCGATCGCGATCATTTTTCGTATTAGTATTTAAAATAAAATATTTATTAAAGTACGATTTAACAATTTAACGCGTGCAATCATTATTTTTTAAAATATTAATTACACTGTTTTAATGGGGATGTATTTGTGTATGTTACAGATCAACGCAGTGTTACAACTCCGCTGCTGCGCATCGATCGGTGAGTTACCTATTCATTTTAATTTTGGGCAATGGATTTGTGAAAATTATATTTTCTTAAAATCCTTCTTTCTCGCAGGATTTTGAAAGAGACATTTAAAAATTCGACTCACTATGTATATCTTTATTTGACGTTAGTCTCAATAATTAAATAACAAAATAACGTTATATGTTAAATGATTCGATTCTTTATATACGGGATGGATTATTTTTATATCCCCACCTAAACGTCTTTTCCTACGCCTTCTACCAAGAAATTTCGCACAAAACACGAGACGTTATATGTTATTAAATAATATAAGCTATATAAGCTATATAAGCTATATAAGGTTTAATGCTATTAAATAACATTATATGCTTTAAAACATATTCTCAATTACGTAACGTATATTTTATTTATATATGCTCATACAAGAGAATGAAAAGCCAAATCAACGCTATCTCTTTCTTTAATTTCCTTCTTAATATGAAATAAAGATAAAATTAATTACGCAGCACAAGATTTCTTCCGTTCAAGTAAATAAACGATAAAGAGAGTGTAACGGACGACGTGTTTATGACTGTGACAGTCACGTTCGTCCCGTGCGGACGAGATTTATCGTCCGAGTAAGAGTGTCTCGTTATTCCGCACGTCGAATTTCGCCGTGCGGACGTTCGAGACCATGGCACCGGAGTCATACCCGTCGTCAATTTTGTTTTCGACGCGGTAGTCGTTAGCGTTAGCGCTTACCCATAGCGATTCGCAAACGGGTGCCGTGAATACCGCGCTGTTATTAGCATGTTGAACGACGCTGCGAGGAACGAGAACGTCGATCCGGCAGGCGTACGCGCCATTAATCCGCGCGCCGAATTACAAGCCACGCTGATGTTCAATGGCCCGAGTGCGATTTCCGCGCTGCGTTACTTTTCGCGCGCGCACGTTTCGCATCGACAAC